TCACTTACTTTGCTGTAACCAATGGTATTTATTAATACATTGTAAAATCATTGTTTTCGCCAAGCTAATAGTAATACATGTTTGAATGAGACTCGACTAACAGTCAAAACACAATACTACATGTATTGAATGAGATAGACTCACTTATTGCTTCAATCATACTCATCAGACAGACAGTAGGAAGTTTACCTGGGCAGCATCCATCCTACAGGGATGGAAATAGCATCTAAATACTAGTATCCCCATGATCCCATTACAATGACTCAATAACCGATGTTGGGGAATATATGCATTACAATAATAGAAATACGGCTGGATGTTGTTGGTCAGCTTCGTTGAATTCCGCTCGGCCAAGTCTGATTCTTCACAGGTTTCAGGATTGCTTCGACTTCGGCTAAAGTTTCGTGATCTTTCCCGAACAGCGCAAGTTCTGTCGCAGCAGCAACATTCTCTTCAACCTAATTATTCACGAGCCAGACATTACTAACAGTTAAAGGTTTGAAGATTGAGTAAGAAAATTCCATTATCGGGCACAAAAAAAGACGATATTTAAGTAAAACGATGGATAAGAACCTGTTTAACAGAGTTCATGCCAACCAGCACCGATGAAATATCTTTATTTGACAAGCTGTATTGCATAGCTAACTTCGAAATATTCTTCCCTTTCTCTTTACAATAGACAGCAGCATCTTGGCAGGCAGACTGGAGAAAGGTTACAAAGACATGAAAGATATATATTCAAGCACACGGACTATGGAAATGACATATTAAATAGATGATGTGAGTTCATGGTGGAATATGATTTCAAAGTATTTAATATTAGATGTGTTGTCGTGACAATGAACCATTTTGTAGCTAGAGCCGAACGGAGCAAAAACCCAGATATATAATCTCTTTAGTACACAGTCCTACAACTGAAGATTTGTGTTGGTCCCAAAAAAATCTTAGTCCGGGTAATTTGCAACAATAATGCCTTAAGGAGGTTACAAAAACATGTTCTGAGAAAAACTTTTTCGGGTAAAAGACAATTATTTACAAATCAATTACATCCAACAGGTAGTCTTATCTTATTTTATCTTATCGGAGGAAGATAAAAGTCTCACCTTGAGTTCGGGTGATGCTGGATGCCACTCTGGTGGACCAAACTCAGTAAGAAGTCCCATGGCAAGTGGAGATGCACTGATTACCCCAACACCTTTGGTCTTCAAATAAGGCAATAAATCCTCCAGTGTTGAATCATTGATGCTATAATGGCAGTAAGACAATACCACATCGACTGTGCCTGGTGGAACCCTATCGAGCACGTAAGTAAAAATGTCCAATGGCAATCCCGTGATACCGATGAAACGAATTTTCCCGGCTTCCTTAAGCTTTTGAAGCGCCGGGATTGTCTCGTTCACAATCTGTTACCACATACAAACCGAACCAAATTAACCCTTTCATATCAGGCTTGCAAGGCAAACACATTCTTCCTAGCAAAAATTGTGCATCCAATTATACTAGTAGTGAAAATGATATTGAAACATCTAATTAGTTAAATAAGAACCTGGCCGAGAGAGCCGAATTCGATGTCATGGCATTGAAATATATCAACATAATCAAGCTGCAACCTTTCCAAGCTTTCATCGATGCTTTCCGTTACTCTCTCCGCACCGAAATCGAAACCTTCACGATATCTCCCACATTTCGTGGAAACAATATATTCATTTCTAGGAACTCCAAGAGCTTTGAGTCCCTTGCCAAGCATCTTCTCTGACAATGTCGCACCATAATACCTTCAAATTAACCACAAACTGTATATAATTCATCAAATTAAACACAAAAAATGCCACAATTAGTTGAAGTGAAGAAATTTGGAATTACGGGGAGGTGTCGAAGAAGTTGATTCCGAGCCGGAAGGCTTCGCGGACGGAAGCGACGGCGTCGCTTTCGGAGACGGGACCGAAAACGCTGCCGAGCGGGGAAGCGCCGAAGCCGACGGTGCTGAGCTTCAGGCCCGTGTTTCCGAGAGCTCTGAGTTCTAGTTTGGAAACAGCCATTGATTGAGCTTTCAGATAGGATTTCTTCTTCTTTTTGATTCTGATGTTTGGTTTTCATCCTTTTTTTTGTAACATGTTACAGCTTCAACTAGGGGTTACTTTTTTTTTGGTTAAACTATACAGATAGTCCTTATATTTTTTGATCCGTCAAATTTTGATCAGCAATTCAAAAAATAGTTTTAGTCCTTTACATTATCAATACGATCGATTTTGGTCACTTGACTATTAACTTCAGTTAACACAAGAAAATTTGAGTTGATAATTAAAAAATAATTCATATTCTTTTTTCTTCTTCCTCCTCCCATTAAATCATTCACACTACGAGGAGGGGAGGAGTAATGGGCGCGAATTGTTTTTTGAATTATTTTTTATTTTTAATTATAAATTTAAACTTCTGTTAATGGGTTAACGAGAGTTAATGACAGAGTAACCAAAATCAAACGAACCAATAACATAAAATACTGAAACCACTCTTTATTGAATCAATGACTAAAATCAGACAAATAGAAATCATAAGGACCATTCATATAGTTTACTTTTTTTGGGCAAAATATTTTTTACTACCTAAACTATTACTTTTGTTACATTTTGGTGTCTAATTTTTTTTTTAAATCATACCTAACATTTAGTTTATATTTCGATTTGATACCACGCCGTTAGAAAATTAATAGAATTGTCGATATGATATTTTTTATTTTTCAATGATGACGTGTATTACCTTATGGAACATGTCAAAATCATTGTTAATTTTTAATGGTGGGTACCAAAATGAAACTTAAACTACACATTAGGTATGATTTAAAAAATAAAGTTTGGGTACCAAAATAGAACATAAGTAATAGTTTAAGTACATAATTTGTAGTTTGCCCTTCCTTTTTAACGGATCAGATTAACTCCTCTCTTTAATTCCTTTAACTTTTGTTAATTATGCTACTTAACTATTTAAATGATGTCAATCAAACCACCAACCCATTGATATTTGAAGGAATGTTAACAATTAGTATAATCATTTATTTAGTTCTCATACTTACCTATTCTATCCATTTGAATTAAATTTATTATATTAAATAAAATTAAGTTAAAATCGATAGAAAATGTAAGTAATGATAACAAAAAATATAAGGTTTAAGGGTCACCTTTGTCCTTGTAGTATATCCAATTTATCACTTTTGTCTCTATTGTATTTTCGCATCAATTTAGTCCTCGAAGTTGCTCAATTGTATTATTCTATATCCTATCCCCGACTTAAAACCCTAAATTACAAACCTTAAGTTATGGTTTATGATTTAGAGGTTATGATGTTGTGATTTGGGGTTTAGGCTTTATAATTCAAGGTTTTAAGTTAGTTTAGGGTATACAATGATGCAATCGAGCAACTTCGAGGGTTAAATTGATGCGAAAACACGATAAGAACGAAAGTGATAGATTGAATCTATTACCGGGGCAAAAGTTATCTTTTTGCCAATATATAATTATATCATTTTTTTAATTATCACTTTGACTCATCTATCAAATGTTAATGGCAAATTGTTTGATTTGTATCATTAAAATAATTAAATGGTTTGATTGATAAAATTAAAATATTGATGGTCATAAAAAATTATCTCATAATTAAGTGGTCATGGGTATAGTTTATCCATAATTTTAATTTTTACTCGTATTTGAAATATTGTGATTTTATTTGATGTTTATGTTTGGCTTAAAACATAAAATTATTCCGAATTTGATAAGTTTAATTAAATTGGTTTTTAAAATAATTATAAGTAAAATTAATTTTAAAATTTGATCAAATTGGTCATCAAGCTTTATTTTAATTTAGTTGTTTTTAAATGTAGTAAATTTGATCAAATTATTTTTTAATAATTTATTAAACTTGATAATTAATTTAATCAAATTTATTAAAAATATATGAGAATTTGAAAATTTGGAGGAAAGATAGTCTGTTCCAACCCCTTATCTATCTATACAAAATTTTATATTATGATAATATTATTAAATGTTAAGTGAATTTATTTAAAAAATAGTGATTAATTAGTTTTTAATTTTTAATAATTTAAAAAGTTAATTTATAACAGGGTAAAATACATAAATGGTCCATGGACTATAAGATATTATTTTATCGAGTCCTTTGATTATTAAGTTATAAAATGGTCCCTCAACTATAAGAGGTTATTTTGTTGAGTTTCTCGACTATTAAAAGTTATAAAATTGTCACTCAAATATTCATTATGTTCCAAACTAGTCTTTTTCTGTTAAAAAATTGTTGCCATATGAGTTGGACGTTAACATGCTTATTGAGATATGATAGTCGTTTGAGGTTATGAGATCAAATTTCATCATATCTCAATTAATAGGTTAATGTATAGCTCATGCAATCGTTGAATTCTTAACAAAAAAGGACGAGTTTGGAACGTCATAAATAGTTGGGTGACAATTTTGTAACTTTTAATGGTCAAGTGACTCAACGAAGTAACTCCCTATAGTTGGAGGATCATTTTATAACTTTTAATAGTAAAGGGACTTAATAAATAATATCCTATAGTAAAGTGATCATTTATGCACTTTACCCCATTTATAATGTTGTATGCTCCAATGGTTCGACAAAAAATATGATTTAGTTTACCAACATGGGTTGGTTCAGGTAAACAACTTGATATAGTATAAGTAAGATATCGAGTTCGAGTTTTTGTGTATGTTAAAAATCCCTAAAAAATTCACCTATCAAAATCAAGTGTGCGATACGAGCCGATTCAAAATAATCAAAATGAAATCTTATAAGCACAAGAAAAAATATAAATTCACCAATCAAAATCAAGTGTGCAATACGAGCCGGTTCAAAATAATCAAAATGAAATCTTATAAGCACAAGAAAAAACATTTATTTGTTTATTCTCAATTTCTCACTAAACTTGATACAAGAAGGGGGGAAAACAAAGGCTAATCAATCTAAAAGGGGCATTCCTAGAAATTAATTCTGCCATCAAAAACTTGACCAAACTGCCAATCAGAGGGCACCACGTCATCAAATTCCACCATTATTCCGTCACTGTTAGTCACTTGAAACGACAAACTCTGTCCCAGTAACTGAGTTGCAGTTTGCCAATTCACACCCCAATTGCGACTCATCGGTATCCAACCGGTGTTGGAACCTTTGATATTAACGCCGGAAATATCGCCGGCACCTCCCACGTTGTACAACAAGACCAATATGAAGTAAGGGTTCCCGCTGATCTGGAATTGAACACCGCCTTGCTTCGAACACAGAACGCGGCGGTACTTGACGGGGATAATCCCCGCCTTGTATTGGGCTATCTTCGTGAACATCGGCATGGACAGATCAAAGTGTTTTAACGGCGGATTGCACCAATTTCCGGTGGGTTTTGAGTAATTCGGAGGGCAGAAATTGGTGGCGGTGACGATTATTGTGCCTGCGCCCGGAATACACCATTGAGGATCGTCGACGCACTGTATTTCGAAACACGCGCCGCAAGTGAGACCGTTATTGAATAGAGATGTGGAAAGCGCCGTCGTTTCGAGTCCGTAGCCCTGCTTGAAGAGATCGCCATAGCCGCAAGCTCCTTCTGCAATATTTAACAAACAATTCACAGAAATTTAGAATATTGGGTGCAATTATACCACTAGTGCGTTATATGGTTAATAATCGCATTAAAACGATATTATTTTGGTGAATTGTTTACTTCAATAGTCGTTATTTATGTCGATAATCAAGATATTGTGTCATTAACAATTTAATAATATAATTGAAAAAAATTTAAAGTTTAATATTATAATTAATTAATTAAGTTCAATAATATAAATAATACAACGTCTAAAATTGGACGGTATCTAAGTTGTTTATCTTATAAATTATTATTATTTTTTATCAAAGTTTAATTATTTTAAAAATTATATATATTTTTAAATACTTTCTAAATAATGTTTAAAAATCATAAAGTGAAAATTATTTTGTCGAAATAAAACACATCTAAAAAATTAATATTAATATAAAATTAAAAACTATTGAATTATTAAACAAAATTATCGAAATAAAATCTATTGAATGACATCAATGGTTAGAGAGTGTTGTTTTCTTTAGATATCTTACGTTCGAGAAATAACATTTGCATGGGGATGGCACAAGTCCCGATCTGACTCAAAAAAAATATTTTTGACACTCGAATTGATCCGAAAATATATACTCTCCACCCACCTGACCCGACTCGAAAAATATATATCCTCTATCTGACCTTAATCAAACTCGAATTTTTAGAATATAAATCTGACTCAACCCAATCCGATATAAAATAAAGGCTTGATTTAAAAAATAGAAAAAGGGGTATTATAAAAATTATCCATAAATTTATTTGCAGAAGTTACACTATTGTCTTCGGATCGGGTCGGATCAAAATTTTTCACTCTCGACACGAACCCGACCCAGTCTGACCTCACCCTTTATAAAATCTGACTAAATCTGAACCCATTTTTTTTTAAATAGGACTATATCTAGTTAGATCAAATCGAAATTTATTATTTTTTAATTAAATTATCATCTTTACATCCGCATGATGTATATGAATCATCGATGGTAAAAAGTTTTTCGAATTGAACCGAACTGAATACACTGCTATGCTTTACTTACGCATGGTTGCAGCACCAGTCATGTCACCATAGAACGTTGCATGGGCGTCGTACCAAGTTTGATCGACCAGTCGACGGCCGATGTGGGATCGCCTCTTGGCCATCACCGAACCCAATATTAGAAATGAGAGGAAAAGCTTGAGAATAGCCATTCTCAAAATAATTTCAAATATCAGATTAAATTATTTTTTATTTAAATAAATGATAAATAAAACAATGTATAAATAGGTCAAGTTTGGGATATAAAAGGCAAGTAATTAAATGTAAGACATAAGCTTTAGGTAACAATTTATGTCAAAAACAATTTTGGTAAGTACAGTATAACTAATTAAAAAACAATAAATATTTTTCAGATTTTAGTAACTGTATTTAAATTAATTAATTTATATACCGATTAATTTGATTTGGAAAACTAATAATTACATCCTAAATAAATATTATAAAATTATTTTTAAAATAAGTTAATATTTATTTCATTAAAATAAATAATTATTTAATTAGTATAGAAAACTAATTTTGATTTAACCTTCGATTTTAATCATGGTTTAAGTCAAATATTAGTTTGAGATGATTGTAAAGTAAATATTAATCAATTAAAGCAATTGTTCAAACTCAAGACATTCAAGAAAAATAATATTTATTTTAACCATTGAGACCACTTAATTGGTTCTATTCTTGATAGTTATCGAGTATTATGGTAATGTCATTAACTGTTATGTTGAATTTTCAAAAGAAAAATTAACAATTATTGATTATTTTATATTTTTCAATAATTTAAAAAATTAACGTTCGAGTGACTAAAAAATATGGATAAAGTACACAAATGGTCCTCCAACTATAGGATATTATTTTTTGGATCTCTCGACTATTAAAAGTTACAAAATGGTCCTTTTACATAGGTTGTTGCTTCGTCTAATCTCTCAACTATTAAAAGTTATAGAGCGGTCACTCAACTATTTATTATGTTTTAAATTCGTCATTTTTCGTTAAAAATTTGATAGTAATTTGAGGTGGATGCTAATTTGTTGTTCAAGATATGACAGTTGTTTGAGATTTTGTGATCAAATTTTATCATATCTTAGGCAAAAAATTAACATCCAACTCATATTGTCGCTATTTTTTTAACGGAAAATGACAAATTTGAAACATAATGAATAGTCGAATTATCGTTTTGTAACTTTTAATGGTCAGAAGATTCAATAAAATATTATTCTATAATCGGATGACTATATGTGCACTTTACACAAAAATATAATGTAGTTTGCCGTAAAATAATTATCTTATTATTCTCGAATTTCTTTCTAAACTTGATACGAGAGAAAAAAGCGAAGGCTAATCACTTTAAGAGGAACAATTCCTAGATATTAATTTTGCCGTCAAAAACTTGACCACACTGCCGATCAGCGGGCGTCACGTTATCAAATTGCACCATTTTCCCGTCACTTGAAACGACAAACTCTGTCCCTTCAAATGAGTTCCAGTTTGCCAATTCACGCCCCAATTACGAGTCATCGGAGCCCAACCGGTGCTGGAACCTTTGATTTTAATGCCGGAAATATCGCCGGCGCCTCCGACGTATGGCAATACCATTATGTTGAAAGGATTTCCACTGATTTGGAATTGAACACCTCCTTTCTTCTAACACAAAAAAAAATCGGAACTTGACGGGGATGATCCCCGCTTTGGCTCGGGAAATCTACGTGAACATCGGCATGGACAGATCGAAGTGTTTTAATGGAGGATTGCAACAATTTTCGGCGGGATTCGAGGGATTCGGAGGGAAGAAATTGGTGGCGGTGACGATGACGGTGTCTGCACCCGGAATACACCATTACGGATCATCGACGCACTGAATTTCGAAACACGCGCAGCAAGTGGAACCTTTGTTGAAAATTGTGGTGGAAAGCGCCGTCGTTTTGAGTCCGTAGCCCTGCTTGAAGAGATAGCCATAGCCGCAAGCTCCTACAACAAACAAACAATTTAATGCATTTAGTACTCAAAATTTAATGCATTTAGTACTCAAACTATTATATTTGATTTGTTTTAGTACTTTAAAATTTAATTTTTTTTAAAATTTATCGTTAAGTTTTTAACAAATGCTGAAATAAAATAAAAATTAAATGCTAGATATGATTTAAAAAAAAAAATTAAGTTCTAAAATAAACTAAAATTGATAATTTAAGTAATAAATGTGTAATTTATCCTTAAATTTAATATATATAGTGGCTGAGCCATATAATGCATTAGAGTGTCAATTGATACTCAATATTTTCAAAAAATAAATAACATTAACCCTATTTTTTAAAAAATATTACTTCATAGATTTAAAAAATATTACTTCATAGATTTTTAATATTTTATATTAACTTTGTTTTTTTTTTCTTGATTTTACATTCTATTTTAGTAAAATAACTTAATTTTACATAATTCTTTCTTAAAATTTATATCTTAATACATAAATAAATAAGATACGGTAGTCAGTAACGAAGCTGTTCATTGTCTCAGGAGACCATTGTCCTTTTCTTGTTTATCAATAAAAAATATATGAAGATAAATACTTATTTGAATATTCGAATTTCAGCTTTTTTTTATTTTGGTCCTCTCATTTTTAATAGTTAATTAAACTTTTATCTCTTAACTTAGAATCATGACTCCTTCCCTAATGATAGTTGATCGATATCGTTTATGAAGAATACAATATATTTAATAAAAATAATCATCGCTAGTATATTTATCGTCAGTATTATCGAATAATCGTGTAAGTGTATATATATATAATTACTTACTCATGGTTGCAGAACCGGTCATGTCGCCGTAGAATGTTGCATGGGCGTCGTGCCAAGTTTGATCAACCAGTCGACGGCCGATGTGGGATTGTCTCTTGGCCATCACCGAACGGTCCGAACCCAACATTAATAGAAATGAGAGGAAAAGCTTGAGAATAACCATTCTCAAAATAATTTCAAATATTAAATTAATATTCTTTTATTAAAATAAAAGATGGATAAAACTAATGGCTAATCACGATGTATAAATAGGTCAAATTTTGAGGCATAAAAGCTAAGTAATTAAATGAAAGATATAATATCTTGGTAAGCATGGAACTAATTGAAAATCAGCGAGGAAATTATAGATTAAATTAAGTATAATATATTTGAAAAAAAATAAACAACTGATGTTATTCCTAAACTATTTTGGTAACTATGTTTAGTGCAATTAATTCACATGATTGTTGGTTTATTTTATTTTAAAAGAGTAATAATTAAATCTTAAATAGATATTATAAATTTAATTTTTAGAATATTTTAATTTTATAATTATATGGCCTGATTTAACTATCTCCTCAAGTGTGCCATTAAGGATGACCTCCAGAAGACATTTGACTCACTAAGTTGTTATTTTATTCTTCTTGTTTTGGAAGGGTTGGGACCAGTTCAAGGATTCGATCGAAGCATGTGTTACTGATTCCAGATTTTATATTTCTTTTAATGGCAACATGGTCGAGTTCTTCAAGGGCGAAAGGGGCATAAGACATGAAGATTCGTTGTCTCCTTATTTATTTTATCAATGAATGTGATGTCTCGATTGCTGCCAATAAGGTTTCCCTTTATCATCCTATGTGCAGGACAGTAAGGTTATTAACTCATCCAGATGTTTTCTTCATTTTTTGTAGAGAATCCTTGGATTATATCTTGGGGATTAAGTGTGTCTTTGAATAGTTCTATGAGTTACTCTAGATTAAAGTGCAATGTTGACGAGTCTTACATGTATTCTTCTGGTATGATTGATGCTCAACTAGTTCTTGTTCACGAGGCAACAGGTTTCAAGTTGGGATCTTTACTTGTCAGACATTTGAGGTTCGTGTAGTTCCTCGGAAACTAACTAATAAGGATTGTGGTAGTTTAGTGGAGAAGATGAAAGCTAAGTTAGGGCATTGATCCAATAGATGACTTAGTTATGCAGACAAGCATGGCTGATTGGTGTTGTAGTTTTGGCTGGATAAAGATTTCGACAGAGTAACCATGATGTGAAATCAGAGAAAAGAATGAGAAGATTTTATGACAGTAACTTTCTATGAATGTCCCAAAGCATTCAACCATTGTTCTCGACAAATTGTCTGGTTTTAGGAGGCTGTGTAATATTTGTAAGAGCTGGAATGAGGAATTAAGCTGAGCTCTCTCTTTTTTCAAGGACAAATCTCTCACTGTATATATCCTTAAAGTGATTTGGCGTGCATACAAATATTAAAGAAATTATTGGGATTAAAATACGTGGAAAGATTGTAAGGTAACACAACAGTGCCTTGAATAATAATGAAGAATTTATATAAAAAATAATATATAAAATACAGCCAAACAAATATCATAGTTAATTGACAGGGTAAATTAATAAGTAAATCATCAAAAATATTAAAGATAAGTCTTAAATCCTTTAAATCTACTATCATAAACATTTTACAATATTAATAATATTTCAAAGTATAAAAAGTTAATTGTACTACAAATCGTCAAACAATTACTTTATTTTAAATTAGTTCTTAAATTTCTGAATATTTTAGTTTAATCCTTAAGTTATGACCCGCATTCTAAACAATTTTATAAACTTTTGAACTTTTCAAATTCATCCATAAACTATAACTCTCATTTCATATTAAATCCGCAAACATTTAAACGTTTCAATAATGTCCCCTAAACCATTCGAAAGTTTGAGGATTGAATTAGAACATTCAAAAGTTTGAGAATCAATATAGACTCGGGGTCATAGTTTGAGAATGAATTTGGAATGTTCAAATGTTCAGGGAACAATTTAAAATGAGAATCATGATATGAGGATGGAAACAAAATATTTAAAAGTTCAGGAATTAATTTAGAACGAGAGTAATAGGTTGAGAACATGAAATGCAATTAACTCAAGGCTAATATAACAAATAAGTACCTACAATATATCATCTTTTTCATTTAAGTACCTAAAGTATTTTATGATCAAAATAATACCTAAAGTTATCTTTTTGGTCAAAGTAGGTTATAAAAGTATTTAATATTTTTTATCGAAGTATCTAGAGTATTATTTAATTAATGGCATATGTAAATTGTTTTAGAATTTTGATGAAAAATATTAAATAATTTAAGTATCTATTTTGACCTAAAATACT